CCCTTCTATACTTGACAATCGAGTATCGTCGTTCCAAGAAGGATCAAGAACTTGTTAACTTTTGTCAGGGCACATAATTCCCCGACTGGAAAACCCTATAGAGTCATCTGTGCATAAAATCAATCCCAGTAGAAAAGAACATTCAGGTTATTATTATTATTAGTATCATTATTATTTATTATAAAAGAAGAAAAATTACTGGAGATAGAGAGACACTGAGGTAAATAGTGGAGTACCTCCTATGCATATGAGAAATCCATGACCATTCTTCATCACTCTCATCATTTAATTTGGTTGTCTATAAATTATTCTTAGACGATCGTCCTGAATAATATCCAAGAAGAAACATATATCAAGACAATGAGTGCTATTATCACAACCGCTTCATGCACATACATATTGCTTTATTTTTGTACGAAAAACCTAAGTATTTATTGAAAATTTCTCCTATAATGCACATCAAACAAAATTCAAAAATCACAGGTAAAAAGAGCTCACAAAAAGTGGATAGTAACAAATAGCATGTTGCATCACAAATACCATGTCCAAAAAATGATGAATCAAAACTAATAAAAAGTGCAAATAAACAAATATTAGCTATGGAATTAGAACCATATGCTGGTAATTCGTGTGAAGAGGAAAAAGAAATTAAAATATGTAATGGTCCATTATCATCATTATAGCAGTTGAGGTTTGGTTCTCCTTGATATCTCCTGCCTACAAAACTTTAATGCTATAAACCATGGCATCACTAAATGTTGTTACAGAATTATGTATGATATTAATCAAATACAATTAGATAGCCCTGCAGGACCCTGCAAATCAACCTAACCAAGTAAGATGGAGAAACAAATGTGAAATATTATAAAGAAATATAAAAACACATTGTTGATTTTCGTTTTTATAAGAAAAGCTAATATGAAATTGATTAATGTTGCATAAAGTGCAGAAAAATGCAGAAATGTTAAGGTGTCTTGCGTATACCATTTGAGGATTGATCGATAGATGGATTATTCTCCAGCAAAGCCTGTAAAGTAATAGTAGGAGAAGGTAAGCAGGCAAAAGAAATATAATTTATGAAGTACCAAAAACTTTACAGTCAAAGCTTCTAGAAGATAGAGAACTAAAGTCGAAGATCATACAAAGCAATCCTACATAAAGAAGGAATGAAATGGTTTCACCCCACAATTATACCTCCTGCAGTTGTAAGAGAGAATTTAGAGTCTTCTTGGATGAAGTAATCAAGTCTGAATATGCTACACTGACTTGTTCATCAACAGAACAAAATGATGACCTAACAGGTCCTGCAGACAACATTGATGTTTAGCAACAATTATATTTTGGACTAACAAAAGGAAAAAAAAAATTGATTACATCAGTTTACCTGCGTAATCTATTTGATTGAAAATGCTTTCTGAGTAGATCTGACTCAGAGTTTATCCCAA